AAAAAAACCTTAATTATTTACGAGTGTCGCTTCCCTGGTCCTCTTACCATGACTAAGTGACTGATGCGAGAAAACCCCGACATGAAAACCTCGGTGAGTATACAATCAAAAGTCTACAACCTCTTGGCCAATTACACTATATCACATAGAGTCCAGTCGCATACCCAACAGCGCCTTACGTCTCCTCCTTCTGCTTTGGCTGCAACCTGATTGGCTGAAAGGCGCCTGCAGAGGAGAGGAAATGACGATCAGTGATTGGTCCCATTGGAGACAGTGTGAAAGGCCGCTTTGTCATTGGCTGCATGGATGAATAACCAAAGACATGTCGCTCGGGGATTGGTCGGATTGGAGTGACGTAATGGTCTGAAGGCGACGCAGGTCTCTTGTGTGAGGACACGAGTGAGGCGATGGTAAGCGACGGGGCCAAGGACTGAAGCGACGTCGGCATGTTGCTTGACTTCGAGGTTTCCGGGTCGTCTTTGAGGTCAGGTGATGCTCGTTCTTGATCCTTTGCCGGGTCCTTCGAGAGTGAGGTAAGCGTCGGAGGCCGAGGAGAACCTGGAGGTTTGGAGTCGAGGACGAGAGGAAGACTACTTGAGGTGGCGAGGATGTCCGAGGGGGACGTCGCTTGGTGAGGGCCAGAGTTCGGGGGTGGAGATCGAGCGTCCAAGGACACGTCGTCCTCAGATATGTCGTCCTCGAAGGTGTTGGGAGAGCCGGGGTTGATGAGGTCTTCCTCGTCGTCGTCCTCGAGGGGAGAACGAGTGTCTGTGTCCCGTCGAGACGGTGGGATCCCCGTCGCCCCGAACTGATGCATCCTGAGGGAGAGAGAACACGAGACTTACTAAATGCCACTCATTGTTTGACTGCATAACATCATTCACCTTTATTATACCATCATCATCATGGTAGCACATCAATGGTAGCATTGCAGTGAAGAAATAGCAATTCAATTAAAATTATAACCTTTGATAACAGATCAAATAATTCCATAGTAAAAATGGGCGAGAATCGATACCTCAACTTAAATAACTAAGCCGCAGGTGAAAGGTAAAGCAATATAGAATGATTGGCAGGGGTGCCAACACTGTGGCAGGGGTGCCAATATTGTGGCAGGGGTGCCAACACTGACGCAGGTGTGCCAACATTGACGCAAAGGTGCCAAAAGTGTGGCAAGGCTGCCAACAAGAATTTTCTGGGGAGGTGTTTTTTTCCTATCCTTTCCTTTGGTGTCTGTTGCTTTCCTTCCTAGACCCTTGGTGCCTGTTGTCTTGTTCTTCTCCTCCGGCCCAGCCCTACGCTGGGTCAGAGGAGGAGAAGGACTGCCCCGCCTCGTCCCCCCCAGCCTGGCCTCCCCGCTCACCCAGTTCGCTCTCCCGGCTGAGATCGGCGGCGTCCTCCCCCACGCCGCCGGAGGCCCTACACTTGCTGAAGATAACACCATAAATATTAGAACACGACCTGGCCGTACCCAACTCGGGCGCGGCATTCCCCGTGTTGACCCAACACCGAGCCACAAAAGCACAAATATAACCTGTCATAAGCAGAGAATGTTTAGCAAATAGGCGAGGTCCTGCCGCCTGCCCGATCCTCAATCCACCTTGTTGCTTGGAAAAGTGAATATAAAATTCGGCTGAGTTATAAGAGTGACGTCCTTCTATCTATCGCCCAGACAACACCCCCTCCTTTCCTTCACCCATCCCTGCCCCCATCTCTTTCCTGCCCTCCCCACAACCCCATCCCAGCCCCCCCCCCCATCTCTACTGACAACGTGCGTTTTAGCGGTCGATGATAATATTTACCTAAGTAATTCGTGCGTTCTAGCGGACAGGTCAGGTGCCGCCACAGAACACAGAGGATAATGGATTCCATGCTGTTGGTAGACGAACGATATGATAATGGATTCAATCCCCCGGTGTTGCTACACGACCGGTTCGATAGCGGATTCTAGGGCGTCCGTAGTCGAAAGGTTACATGGTATATACTCTGGTTTTACAGAACGCTCGGTATCTCTGCTTTTTGTCTCTAATTAGAATGTTTGGGTGTTAGTGCAGGTGTCCTGTGGGCCTCGTTGTTCAGGGTTGGTTAAGTTAGCTCTGGCCGTGGGTTTAGGACAGCCAGTATTGTAGTGATTTGCACAAGTTGTTATGGATTAAGTGGATGATTCTGATGATGACAATGTCTTCGTGTTGTGCTGTTATTTTGACTTGTGTAATAAACCTTCCCAGTTATTAATGTACTACCATTTTTCAATAAGGTATTTGATTGATTGACAGTATACTCAGTCTTCCCCTAGCCAAAGGGTATACAGAGTTGCTAAACGTATTTTAAATATAATTCTTGTGGGTTTATAGAGGAAGATACAATAATGGATTATATGTTGTTGTAGGACAAACTAATGTTTAGGATTCTGTTAAATAAATCCGGTTTAATATTAGTTTTGCTGGCTTTACTATACGAATGATTTGATGACAAATTATGAGGTGTTGCTATGGAAACGGCTTTGCATTAGATGGATCTTTGTACAAAGAAGAAGAATTGTTTAATATGTTCATTATTATCAGTCTTGGCTCATCTCGATCAGACACACGATGTCTGGAAGGGCAATCAAGCAACACCTAATATGAGGCCTTCCGGAGATTAGTTAGACCAGGTTAATTAGTTTATCAGGGGCTCCGTGCCCATCCTGGCGGGTAGTGGTGCAAGGCACTTAATGAACTCAAGCACTGGACTGATTGGAGGTTGACTGTAATCACTGACTCTGTTAATTATCGCTTGGCAGCTCTAATCAGTTACAGCTCTCATGATCAGCCACACAGTTTTAAAGAGATATATAAAATCTTAAAAAGACACACAAAAAACACTACAGTGAAGAAAAAATGGAAGAGACCATCACCCATTAATCTTTGGTTCGTGGTTTTTCTCGCGGTGTTAGCCCGCGGGAATAACACACACACAACACCCCCATGCCCTCCCCCTCTCTTGAAAAAAATCAAATTTCCCCTCGCAAAACTAGTTTCAATCACTCCAGAAAGGCGCCCGACCATAAACACGTTCACAACGGGGTGAGGCATAGCACAGCCAGGCCACAGACTCGCGCACACGCACGCAAGCACGCATACAGAACAAGAGGACACGGATGGAAACCTGAAACGGAAAAGTAGTAATAATAGGGAAATAGGTCAGGAGACATTGCATTAGACAATTGGCGGCTTGAAAGCGCGGTCAAAGAGCTAATGTTCGACCTTGCAGGCTCAAATAGGTGAGTACACGCACGCACGCACGCACGCACGCACACACACACACACACACGCACACACACACACACACACACACACACACACACACACACACACACACACACACACACACACACACACACACACACACACAAACACACAACACTAAAACAATGAGAAAGAGACGGACGCAGCGGCCGGCGTTCCCTAATTCACTTTGTTTGCCAACAATGGGTGAAGGGGAGGAGGATTGGATAATGTTTTGGTTACTGTCACGCCGCGCTTCCATCTGGCACCACCACCAGCAAATTGCCCGTTTTTAAGGCCCTCGGAGCCTGCTGGCCCTGAGCCTGGCACTCCACCACCACCACCACCATCTTCCAGGACACCTGTGCCACCAGCAGCAGCGGCCAGATGGGACACACACACACCCGTGCCCGTAGCGGCGGAAGAGGGGGCCCAAACAGGCGAACATATTGGAGTTCTTTAGCGACATGGCTGCCGTCCTCAAGTGGCGCCCGGGATCAATGTTACCCGCCGTGTGGAACATCAGGCAAGAACGTCCCTTCCCTTCCCCACACACACCTGAAACACCCGCAACCGTCGTCATCTTCAATGGTTGTCTCCTCCCGAAAGGGATTCGTAGACACGTTCCATGAACCAAACCAACTTTATGGTCAAATATGAGAGATATGACCGGAGAGACTCGACGGTGACGGTCCTCCGTAGCAGACGAAACGATATGAAATCTGGACGCAGTGCCAGCCAGTGATCGGTCACAAGGGGGGGGGGGGGGGTGGAAGAGGGGTTACCTCAGTTAAGCTGATGGTAGAGAGGGAGGAAGAGGGGTCGGGGTGAACGAGGGGTCGGGTCAAGCGGTATAGAAACTGTAGCATTGGAGGACGAGGGGAGAAAGGGATAGAGAAAGGGGAATAAAAAATGAGGGGGGGAGAAGGAAGGGTTAAAGGGGAGGAGGACTGGTCAGGAATAGTAAATGCATGACGAAGTGGAGAGAGAGAGAGGGAGAGGGAGAGGGAGGGACAGAGAATGTAAAAATACTAAAACAATGTGGAAGGAAGAGAAAATAGGAGAGATGAAGCAATAGCAGTTACGTGGACAGGAAAAGGCTAGTCAGACGCGGAGTTGATGGAAGAGGAGTCGATGGAATAGAAGTAGATGGAAGAGGAGTAGATGAAAGATAAGTAGATGGAAGAGAAGTAGCAAGAAGAGAAGCAGCTAGAAGAGGAGTAGGTGGAAGAGGAGCAGATGGAGGTAGAAGGGAAGGGAACTATCAGGGGGAAAGCGCCAAGCAATTACGACTATATGGCACTGGGAAGGGGTCAGGATAAGGATTTGGGATGGGACGGGGGGGGGGGGGGAGGAATGGTGCCCAACCACTTGGACGGTCGGGGATGGAGGTGGAGCAGATGGAGGTGGAGTAAATATAGGTGGAGCAGATACAGAAGTATATGAAGGAAACAATAGTGTAGGAGATGCAGAAGGAGCCACAACAAAGAGGACGAAAAAAAAAGGATTTTCAGTTGCACGTAGAAAGAGGCACAATAATAATAATAATAATAATAATAATAATATTAATAATAATAATAGTAATAATAATAATATTAATAATAATAATAATAATAATAATAATAATAATAATAATAATAATAACAAATAATGATGAACAATAATAATGAGATGTAAACATTATTATTATTATTAAATAACATTACACTGGTTATTTTACTTAGTATTCATACAAACTACAGCATTACAATGAGCACCACTCCTGCAGGGTTCGAGCCCTGGGCAGGGAAGGTCAGCTGGGCACCTCACCTGTTCGCCTCTGTTGACCCAGCAGTAATGGGTTGTAAACCGATTGGCGGGTTGTGTTCTAGGGAAAGAGCCATTAGGGTAACACATAAGTTATGGGAAGAAAACGTTCTCACCGTGTTCACAAGAGCCAGAAGTAATCATTTTGCCTCACCTGAGGCAAACATGAGAGAGAGAGAGAGAGAGAGAGAGAGAGAGAGAGAGAGAGAGAGAGAGAGAGAGAGAGAGAGAGAGAGAGAGAGAGAGAGAGAGGAGAGAGAGTTCAGAGGAAGAGAGAGAGAGAGAGAGTTCATAAAATCAGTGTATAGACCCAAATTCAGGAAATTTGAAGAAGAAAGAAAGGGCCTCAACGCTATTCCGGGGAGCCGAGAGAGAGAGAGAGATACACAGTGTGCCGTAAAAGGAAATATGAGATGGTGGATAAACGGTGTGTAAAGACTATAGGGAAAAGAGCGAAACAGGAGCCCCAAGACAGACAGACTGCAAGGGGAAACTTAGGCATTCCTCCTCTGTTTCCAAGAATCCTAACCGACAAATTCCCAGCATCATTACCGGGAGATTAGTGAGCCGCCAGGGGGAAGCACCCCACGGAGGGTGAGCTCCACTGTGGGTCTCCTTTCTCCTACATCACCTCTCCCCTCCCCCTCCCTCCTCCCCCGCACGCGCACGCACACACACTCTTACACAGGGTAGAGCCCAATAGGCTCGGAACTTGAACACCAGTTGATTGACATTTGAGAGGCGA